AAACGTTTTTAAAGTTTATATGATCATTCGCGAAAAGCTTTTTAATTTATATTTTTTTGCCTGATGCTTAGTTTTTCTAGGCTAATGTCCTAAATGGCCGAACCTCATTTGATAGAATTTTATTATAAGGGGACTTTTGGCAGAGATTAACACCCGAGCCGTGATAGCTCAGCGTCCGGGCGCTCGCCTTTAATTCAATATACTCGAGCAACCTGAGTTCGATCCCCGGTGCCGGCACCAACGAAGTTTTTAACTTTAAGTGCTGACTTATCACGTTCTCCGCGGTGAAGGAAAACATCGTGAGGAAACCTGCATGTTTTCGAAATAATAACAAAAAAATATATTTTTCGAAGATATGTGAAGTCCGCCAATCCGCAGTGGGGCCGCGTAGTGGACTATGCCCTGGTACCCCTTATATAGAGGAGGCCTTTGCCCAGCAGTGGGACATGTATAGGCTGTTACTTTACTTTTGTTACTTTTATAATCATGGTTCATGTGTAGAAATTTAAAACTTAAAATTATGGACTAAGTTAGTAGTTTTGTGGACGGAGGTGTCACTAGCGTACCACGTACACTTTTCATGAAGAAAATTGTACTTTTCTATAATATTACGCCGCTTTCTCTAGTTTGGGAAGTCAGAATATGTCAAAGTGGCCTGAACAACAGATAACAAAACTGTGTAAAAAAGAGAAAGTGTGACGTCTGGAAAAATAAAAATCAAATGAAAATGATAAAAAAAATTAACGGTGTAAAAATCTCTGAAAGGATTTCTAATCGCGATATTGACCAGATAAAGATAAAGGCAAAATGTAATAACTAAGACCAGCTGACTCAATAATACGGAAGATGTTACATATAAAAATAATCAAAACACGTGAAATTCTTTCGATACACAAACGCCTTCAAATTCATGTGTTGCAAACAGAGAATGAAAATTTTCAAGTTCCACCAAGATTGGGATGTCGCAAAAGTGAGCTTAAGACACACTTTGGTATTCGTGAATTAATTGTAATTTTCTTGGTTCGCGCATAGTACATTCACATATAGATGTATAAATATGGAAGATGTGAAGGAGTCCTGGAAAGTGGATAACAAAAATTTCTGCCCAGCTCTGAGCCGGTATCATAGAATGGGTGCTTAGAACAAAATATGATGAGAGAAACTTTATAGTTTACATTATTACGGCCATTGCGGAATATTTCGATTGATCCATCGAAAAAAGAAAGAAAATTATATAATAATATACTATACTGTGACCACACACGTAACAAAGGTAACGTGATATCTCATTTCCTGTCTGATGGCTTTATTAAAAGAAATTTTGTCATCAATTTCATAAAATTTTAGAACATCTCTTTGCACGCAAGCGTTTTTATACCCAATAATATGACGAAAAAAAGGGACTATAATAAGTGTTAAAATTTTAAAGAAATTAAAAAAAAACACGATTATGTCATGAGGTTCATTTCATCTTTGAATAACTTGACTCAATTTACAAATATTCGTATGTAGATAAACAAAAGGGTCAACAAACCCTATCTTGGATGTTAGTTGCTGCATTAACATATTATGACAAATCGTAAACTGTAAAATATCGAGCAATATGAAGGTAATTAAGGAACTAATAACAATCAATCACATTTTATAGATCGCTACATTATACGAAGTGCAATGTCGTTACACTTGATAATATAAGGGGGACCAGTTATAAGAATTTTTACGGCTGGTCCAACCAATCACTGCGTGTCTCTTCATCTCGATGTCACGCGATTTCCTCCAATAAGTATAGTGACATAACGTACACACATCCCGCGGCTAATCGTCACAAACGATGCAGGAGACTTTAGCATTCATTTATTCGCAATCACTCGGAAATTAGACAGGTATCGCATAATTTACTACCGGGAAAGATTGCCTCCAATTATCCAGGGGCGGCTTCGGTGGAGCAGGATGAAGCAATTTGTAGTAATCAAGGGACAATCGCTCAAGTTATCGCTATTAGCCTTTGTCGGCGGTTGTTCGAAACACGCTTTACTACTTCGAAACGAGCCTTAGGGTCTATTACGGGCTCATCATGAAGAATTAGCCAAATTAAGTCATTAAACAATGCTAGACAGCTGTCGCAAAACACAACAAAATTGGTGTTTCTACTAAAAAGCGAAATGGAGGCCTCCGCATCGAATACAGTAATGAAACACATAAGAATTGCTCCAATACTTTTTAATTGGGACATAGAAATAATTTGTTTTACTCGAACCGCTTAACGACATTTATTAGAAGTAATTGTACACTTTAAAACGATAGTTACATAAAACAACATCGTTAATGGACATCATACGACAACGGCGTTCAAAATAAACTTTAATTATGAGAAAAATTAGAGCATCACAAGAAAACTGTACAGAGACAGCAAAAACCGTAAAACGAAACTATCGATAACGTGTCGGTTTATTTTCATTTTAAGCAATTGGTGAATATTATTTAGTCATCATAGAGTTTTCGACTGGATGTGGTAGGTAATACAGTTAATTGTTACAGTTAAGGATAGGTTGTAGTTTTTGTACCTCTTAATGCTTGCATCAATGTCGCAAAAGGTACAAATAAAATATTTGTTGATAAAATGTTTGATGAAATAAAATATATCAACTCTAATTGAAAGTATTCTAGATATGTATATATACGATGGTAGGGCCACGCAGCAGACTCGGCTGTTGCACGAATGGGCAGGCTCGTCCGGGTAAGTACCACGACCTCACAGAAGACCGGCGTAAAGTGGAAGTATAACACTTTCGCGTTTCGTCTGGTGAGTGAAATGGCCGAAGCCAAATTTTCAAAAGATTGTCAACGCATCTGTAACCCTCGGGTGTAGCAGATGTCCATGGGCGGGGGTATTCACTTAACAGGTGAACCGTTTGCTCGCTTGGCAACTTGTCACATTAAAAAAAATATTTTTTGAAATGTGTAACTGTAAAGTTTCAAATTTCATGTTTAAATATTAATGGTTATTTCTTTTACTTTTTTTATTCATACGCATTTTTTGAGATTTTTCACACTTTAATAGTTCATAATATACTTGATAGTTTTTAAGGTTCACTTCAGTTTATCCACCGAAATAACTCTACATGGAATTATGTAGATAAAACGTGAAATAATTTTGATAAAGGGATTCAAAATTTTCGGATAATGACTGAGTGTGTGTGTGTGTTATTGTAAGTATGTATTTAACTACGTTCTATTTTAACTTATAATAATCATCTCGATTCGGCATTTACCCTTATAAGCGTTTACTTTTACGCTCAGACCAATAAAAAAGTATAGACAGCACATTGCGCGCATATAAGTGAGGCACGTCCACGTACTTATTGTGAAGCCGATTAGGTCATAATATGAAGACGGCCGCTCGGCAGCCTGCCGCGAAGTAGTTTTAATAAACGTGCGAAATGTCTTCTGTGTCATAAACGGCTGCAAAATCAATTCATGTTTTGAAAAAAAGGGTTCTGGGATTACTTTTCACAAGTGAGTAACCAATTTTCTTTATCAATTATTACAAAATCATGAAAATGATTTGAAATAATTAATCGGAACACGAATTCTATTCTTATATAAGTATATTATATCTTTACCTATATAAGATAAATTTTATTTGTTTAAGCATGGTGTAGGTACATACACGTGTACTACATATATTGCGTGTAAAATACTAAATACAGAAAAAAAGTTCTATCATGTTTAGCCATAATATCGCGACATATAAGTTAGTAATATGAGATGATGCATTACATATATTTAAAAAATTACATTTAATTGTCCAATGATTTGCGCATTGCAAATATGCGCAAATCTTCCGATCTTACACCGACTTACGCACACAAAGCCAACACTCGTCCTCCCTAAATTGCGATTGTTTACGATGGCTTCTTCTATAATTTTTTGACTGAAATCATTCTGTATCACTCTGAAGATTGGAAATTTACGTAGGTACTAGGTAGGTGGATTTTTACGTAGGTATTTTTTATTTTATTGGAAACTGGCCAGCGCTTGACTGCCAGCCCACGTGATTGTACGTGGCGATGTAGCCATTAATGGTAAGCGCACTAGCTCAGTAAAAATCTATTAAACTCCTGCCTTGAAACTTGAAAAAACTTAGAATTTTCTCATTTAATTTTGTTTGTTACGTATGCAACAAGAATTCATTTGTTTTATATCATCATTAAAGTCATAGTTCAAGTTTCAAGGTATTATGTACTAAACAAAATGAGATAAAAAAATACGATAAAATTAAATGCAAAATTTTATACGACTTTTAACCAACATTAATTTATTTCTATTATGTTAATAGCAACTTTTTCACATCTTGTCGGTACTAATCCCTCGAGTCGTAAAATATATTTACTCTTTATTACTTGATTTTGATACTAATCCCTCGACTCGTTTAAGGAACCGAAAAATATTTTTTCTACTATAACTATTACTATTGGCTTTTGTAAACAAAGAAGTTTAAGAAACTTAGTTCGATAAATAAAGATAGGTAAGACGTTTCTCTTCAGTTACTAGTAGTTCAGTTACTAGTTTTGAATTAATACATATTTTGTGAGTATTTTTATGTAATTTGCGTACATAACTTATTCCTTATAGTACGTAGTATTGAATACATGATTGGATTGAGAACCAATATCAAGACAAATGGAAATAATACAAGCACCTGTCTAGACTTGTGTCTATACCGTAAATTATTAAATATATATATTTATATTATAATGGATGCTCCTGCCAAATTTGGGTCTTGTAGTCTTGTTGAAACATGTTTACATCATATCTTCTCCTCCCCCATACACCCCCCATCCCTAGAGTTAAATCATGCATGTGCCTACTGAAAAAAACAAACTTAAAAAGCTTGTTAAAAATCATACTCAACAAAGTATCAGACATACAAGACCTCTTTAATGAAAAACAAGCACAATGTTGCCACTTCTCATTTTAATTCACCAAAGACAAAACTAATTGCTCTGCTTCGCCTCCTTGGCATTCTGCAGCGCTTGCGTAAGATACAACTTGGCGAGGCTTTGGGAGCAGAATTGGCTAATGTGCTGACTGTAGGTGTTGATCTGGCCAGCCACAATCATAGGGTTGAGCCTTGGTGGCACTGGATGGGGCTTGAATAGCTTGTTCACATCCTCTTCCGGTAGTGGGGGCTCATCCTTTGCGGCTCTGGCCGAGTTTTCTTGAGCCCTCTTCAACAACCAGCGGTGCTTGTCTTGCTGCTGCCTGACCACCAGCTGTTGATAGCGGTTGAATTTGATGGCCTCTTGATTCAACTCATCTACGCGCTCCATCAAGCTGCGAAGCTGGCCTGGAATCGGCAGTTATCGTACTTAATAAATGCAGGTAAATGGGCCTAACAAAAATTTGCATAGAGTATCATGATACTCTATGCAAATTTTTGTTGTTGGTCATAGTACATGTACTATGACCATCTTAAAATAAAAAATAAGCAATCAAATGAACTTAAACTTTTAGGCCAAGCATTACGTAAAATACGAAAAAACAATGTAGATAAAAGACGTTTAACTTAGGGCGCCAATCCGCAAGACGTGGGTTCGATTCCCACAGCAGCGAAAAACTTTTACACTGTTCTACAAATTTTAACAGTACAGATTTTGTAACATGAGATCATACATCTCTGAAACTAAAGACTACAAAAATTATAAAGCTTAACTGTCCCCTTGTATTCTTTCTTAAAAAACAATCTAAACAAATATGAACCCTGAGCATACCTTCAAGTACTGACGCAGTTCCCAAATCCAAAAACTTTGAGCCCTCTTCTTCTGGAATCATCTCTGTGAGCTCAGACATCATTATATTGGTCAAGGGTGAGTTGCGTATAACAATCGGTACTTCAATGAACAGGCTTTCATAACCTATCTTCAAGTTACGTAGCGCATCTGGTGTGTAGTCACCATCTTTGTACATAGCTATTGCCTGGAATAAAAGAAATTTCATGATGGTCCAGGTATGCGAAATTTGGGAGTTGTTAAAAATGGTTGTGGATTGAATACTTGGCAGGAAAGAGTAAGTGTATAGTGGAAATATTTTTAGGTTCTGACTACTTCTTTATGTGCATTTTTATATTTAAAATATCTATTTATACCAACCTGAGGAGTTAATCGGTATGCCTTTAAGGTTAAGAATCCTCTAGCCGATTTCTTAGTGTCATAAATGACAACAACACTCTCTTCAATGGAGGTTTGATAGTGATATTGTGATTCTAACAAGGACTGACTCAGAAAGTTGCCAACATCAGCACTCTGATACCTGAAAATAAGAATGACAATATTGAAAATAGAACAATTTTTGAAAGCAACTATATAACATAAAACAACTTTTAAGAATTTAATAGGGAAAGTAAATGGTAAAGATAAGATACACGGGTTATGGGGACACAGATTACTAATTTACAAAAAAAATCCAGCCAGCATCTCTAATAGTTCTTACAAGATGAAATTAATCAAAAATGTTAATATAATAAACAAACAATGGTAAATGTTCAGCAAATTGATCAGCACATTTTGCAATTGAAAATGATTTTAAACAGTAGAGAAAAATCATTAAGTAATTAACCAACAAGCAGAATTCTCCAGTCACTTATAGTTTTCGGATGGACCTGCCCATTCATGCAACAGCCAAAGCTATTGTGCATCCGAACTGGAACTACTTTAAAAATAAGTGAACAAAAAATATCTAAGCAACCTAAAATATTCACATATTTTCCCAAATATACCAAAAGAAGTATAACTTAACAAAAAAATATTACTAACCATCCCACATGGAAATGATCAACATTGACCCTGCGAAGTCTGCGCATCATGTCAAGTTGGTATTCTTCCTCATCCATTGTATCATCATGTTTGGGGAATGGGAAACAATTAGTGATCTCCAGTCTGTTCTCAACGACCAAACCCAATAAAGCACCTTGGGCCACTTCCATATTACTGCAGGATTCCTCATGGCAATGCTTAACTATTTTCATCACCGCCTGGAATATTGAAAATTGCTATTTTATATTGACATCATTAAAACCTAAAATAAAGAAATAAAAATAAAATATGAAATAAAATACATGACACTTGAATTATTTAGGCTGTTATTTAGTAACTTGGGTTGTTTTCCTCAATACAAATAAAATGGTACAGATTTTAAACTTTCCCTCCATATAGCCTTACAAAACAGGTAATAAAATAATAAACAAATGAACATCTCCAAAAATATGTTGACTTTAAAAGTAAATATTCAGCTGTATTTTTGATTTAAAGTACAGAACTTTAACATTAGTATAGTTAGAAATGTGTAAAATTAAAAATTAGACTGATGACCAAAGAGAAGTTAGACTGATGACCTCATGTAAAGAATTTAAAGAGTGTAGTTGTATTCCAAAACTGTACGTGACTCATTCAGTCAATTAAATAGTTTACATGTAAATAAAAGGGGTCATCAACATAACCTAAATCATACAACGGAACATAATTATATCAAAATATACTAAAGGTGTCTTACCGATTAGAATTAATAGAACACCAACATTGATGAAATATAAGGTAAGTGGAAATTCGTATGAAAATATTTAAGAAATAATAAAAAACAAAAAGTAACCATGACGTGTCAACGTCTTCTAAAGTATAAAAGAAAGTATTCACATTTACTAAAAATTACAGTATTTCTACTACTACATACCAATCCATCACACTGAACATATGTAATTGCTGCTTCATTTTCAGGAACGCGTCTAGATGCTGCCGCACGATTCGCCATTTTTAATAGAGAAACTGAGAAAGGGCGACACCGACAATCGACGACAATAATTTAATTTATAAAAATAACCTTTTTAAATGTCAATGTCATGCGCAGAAGCAATAGTTTTCAATTTTCTGCCAGTATCATTACCGACAAAGACTAACATTTAACATTATTTATATTACTAAATAATAAAGGCCATACATTTTTTATAAAAAAACTAAATAGTGAATTTTTTAAAACCTGACTGCAGTTAAAGTTCTTTATGTTAAATTGATGTTTAAGATATATATCTATTCTTTGACGCTTTTCAAGTGTACTGAAAATGCCTTTTACAATGATAATATTAAAAATATTTATTATTTAATATTTTAAAACTATAACTGAAAGTGGTAATAAAGGAAAACTTTATCATTATAATAATGTATCATTGATTGTCATGTGTCATAACCTACTGTCAATGTCTTTAATTTGAATTATAGAAAGTGAAAATCGAATAGAACATAAGTATATACACACGTTATAAATAACGCTTTATTATGACTTAAACAATAATAAATGAAAGATCGTTCAATTTATTTTTATAGTGGCTGAGTTCTTGTTTCCTATTAGTCAAAAAGACGTTAGGCGTTTATGAGTGTCTGGTTCATAGAAATAGGCGTAACAAAATGATTCAATTACTTTTAAGTGGAAAGTGAGCGTTAAAAAAAATGAGCCAACATAAATTTTGGCATGGGCTAATACCATTAACAATTACATTACCGCAAAATGTACCTGATAAAGTAGTAAAACTGTGTTCTTTGGGCGCAGACTTCATTGTTTTAGGAAGTGACCATGGAGTTTATCATTGTACCATACAGGACGATTCGTTAAATTGTAAAAAAATTAGTGGTATTGCAGCAATCGACATATCTTATCACAATGACGTTCTCTATGTCATTGATGTACATGGGAGACTATACAAATCAAATTCCAGCTTTAAAAGCAAAGAAGAAATTATTGTCAAGGAGGATTCCAAATGTTGCCCTCATGGATTCAAAAGTACCAGTTTGAAAGTTAAATTTAGGAATGTTGTGACAAGTGATTTTGGCCAACTCTTTATAAGTAGTGATGGTCAGTTGTGGGGTTCTGGTGTCATGCCTCAAATAGCTTTAGATAGTCCTAGTATAAAGAAAGTACCATTTTTTGAAGGTAGAACTGTGTATAGTGCATCAGTTGGTCAGAATTTTGCAGCAGTGATAGCTAGAAAAAATGTAAAAAGCTCTGGCAATTGTGACACAGACAGTGATAATGATGATGAGGAAGTTTTTGCATCCAATTGTTCACAATGTCAAACAATAATAGGTCTGGCATCACCTGCATCTGTCCCATCATTGTCAGAGACTTGTCCACTTGGAGTTCACATTAGCAAATCTAGTGAAGACTCCAGCAGTACTACTGCGCCTCAAACCGATGTCCATATTGATGCTCATAGTTTTACCGAAGATTCTAGCCCTTCATCTGAAGAATCAAAGGTTACTAAGAACGATTTAGCTCAAAGTATTAATATTTTAGAAAATAATGATATGCTCCAGACTAATCAATCCGAAAATGATAATAACTTGCTGGATGAAGAGGAAGGCATACCTCAAGAAAATGCGGAAAAAATAAATAATATATTTATTAACACTGATGCTGCAAGACAGTTCTTAAGCAGGCAACTATCTTGGGTTTCAGCTGGAGAAGATTATTTGGTAGAATATACAGAAAAACCGACAAGAATAATTAAAGAAAATGTATCAAATCTTACAAATTTTGTGTATGAAGGAGTAAGGACTGTCGGTGACAAGGTGGCAACATTATCAAGGCATGTTAGTGGGAGCAGTGATAATAATGAGGTTGCAGAAAATCAGAACCGTAACCAGATAGAAGAAGTAAGCTCCCTTATGTACAGTTGTGCATCAAATGGAAATTTTGAGGATCTACAATTTTCAACTAGTACAATAAGCAGTGAAAAGGATTTTGAGGTTATCAGGAAGACTGAAAACCTTAAAAATATATCCAAACTTGGTAAAAATATTCTAGCGACAGAACTGTGGACTTGGGGGGACATTACATATGGCCAGTTAGGAATTGGAGATACGGTTAAGAGAGTAAAACCTATGGTAGTCATGAGTCTATCAGGTTTTGGACTTCAAAAGGTTTCATGTGGAAAGTGGCATTGTTCTGCTCTAACATTAGATGGAAGGCTATTCATTTGGGGCTATAATAATTTTCATCAAGTTTGTTTCGATTCTAGAGATGACAAGAGTGGTCCAAAACAGTTTACCGAAAACTCTGAAAGTGACCGAATAAGAGATATGATTGCAACTGAACATCACACTCTGGCTTACACTCAAAATGAGAATATATTTTACATGGGAAAACACACAGATGGATTTACAGAGTCCATAGTGAACCTGAACATGAAGAAAGATGAAATAAGTGCAAATGTTAAAGATGTTCTGGTTAAAATTAGTGAGTCCCAAAATTTTACTAAGAAGCCCCAAAACTTGTGCTACCATTGGAGAATATTATCTTCTGGTAACTTTAGCTACTGTTTAATAGAAGAGTCTGCAATATGTCCCGAATTTCAGAATTTATCTATCGCTCAACGCTATTTGGAAGAAATGATTTTAATTCATCAATCACTTGTTAAACCATTTTTAAAGAAAAGCAAAGCAATAACATTACATCCCAATGTATATGAAAACGTATGTGATATATTTGGTGACATTTTAAACTTAACAGCTCTCAACGTGCTCTCGACTTGGCAATACGCCGAGAAGCACATAAATGAATGTGATATATCGTTAATTAAAAATTTAGAAGAGTATATTTTGCTGTACAAGAAGTATTATTTAGCTATAAGCAATTTGATTGTTATTGGAGGATTTGCTCACATTAATAATGTTATCGATGTGCCATCAAGTGTTTATAACTTATTTAGCGATCAGCTTCCATCAAACAAACAGAAGAATAACAAGAAGACATTAGAAGCGGTTGTCGCCTTAGCCTTTGTGCAACCATTGACAAGGTTAAGCTCATACAAATGTATTGCGCAGTCGCTCTTGAGGCACAGATCTAAAAAGAAGAAAAGCGAAGCCAAAGCGAGCACAGAAGACAAGCTCAGCAAAGTCATATCATCGTTGGACACGATCATCGACGACCAAGAGAAAAAGAGAAAGGAGGCGGATGTTACGAAACTCTTTTGGGATACGATAGGGAAACCACTGGAGCAATACCGCACTCCAGATAGACGGCTGGTGAGGGAATCGAAATCCCGCCAACTGAACTTGGTGAACCCGGGCCGCTTCAGCTCTCATTGGTTCGTCCTTTTCAACGATCTCTTCGTCCACATGAGCGGCAGCGTTATAAATGTTCACCCGGTAGAAACGCTGTGGGTCGAGGCCGTCCCAAACACGGACCCACAACAAAACGTCATCCAACTAGTGACGCCCGAGGAGACCATCTTGATATCGACCGGCGCCGAACAGGAGAAGACCGAATGGATCCACTCGTTCAACACATCTGTACGCACCGCACTGAAGAAAGACACACATTTTAAGCCGCCCGCCATCAGGACAGCCAGCTACACTTTTTCTAATAAGAGCGCGTTCTACAAGGAAGCAAAGTACAACGGGAGGTGGTTGGACGGCAAGATGCACGGACACGGCAAGGTCGAGTGGCCCGATGGGAAGCTCTACGTGGGGCAGTTCCAGATGAACGCGCTGTGCGGCCACGGTAAAATGGAAATCCCCAACGTAGGTAAGTAAGTGTTTTACCACAAATAGGCATATCGTACATAAGAGCATAAGACGTATGTTACGTTTTTGAACGCTGATATAGACGTTGCAGTTTTTTTTTTCTGACTTTAGACTTTTGCATTTAAAACTATAAAAAAATGCCAGGACTAACGATTTGAATCTAATTTCACAAGTATACAGCGAAATCCACCCAAAGAAAGGCCTTTTTTAAAATAGTAATGACGTAACTGTAAGAATGCTAATGATTACTGCTTACTTTGCACGTAATTTATAATTTTAATGTTTATAATAGTTACTACTCCATAAAGGATAAATGTTATCACACTATACACATTAGTAATCTTTAATCGGAAGATCTATCACGAAGTGATTCGACGTCAAAGTTCGATACAAAACATCCACAGGCACCTACGAGGGGCATTGGAAAGATAATCAGCAGAACGGATACGGCGTGATGAAGTATACTTCGGGCGATTTGTTCGAGGGCTACTTCAGGGAGGGGCACCCTCACGGGCACGGGGTGAAGAAGCAGGGCGACTTCAAATCGTCGAACGCCACAATCTACACCGGCGAATGGGCCTTCGGGGTGCGGCAGGGGTACGGCGTGATGGATGACATCGGGAAGGGGGAGAAGTACCTGGGCAACTGGAGCGACAACAAGAAGCACGGGTGCGGCCTCATAGTGACCTTGGACGGCATATACTACGAGGGACTGTTCACGCAAGACGTCCTGACGGTGAGTTCGAGTCTAGTTTTTGTCGGTGGCCGTTGTGAGGATGTGCGTGCTCGGATGGCCGGCTAAGTTAGCAGTATTACGTCTTAAATTGGTATATTTTTAGTTGGCGACAATAAAGAAGACATCGTTCTATTTATTAAACGTTTTCTAATAAGAGCGCAATTAATTATATCATTTCCAATGAAACTAATTATGAGTTACTTATAGTTATAAAATAAATAAATATATCAGGACACATTTTTACACAACGTTATCTAGTCCCAAACTAAGCAACGCTTATACTATGGACACTAGATAACTGAAAAATATACTGAAACATAGAACTAATACAATACAAATATATAAATACATATATAAACACCCAGCCACTAGAATAACATATTCATCACATAATATTCTTCCATTATTCTTGTCGTGGGGATCGAAACTACACCCTCTGGCGGAACAGACTGATCCACTATCCACCACGCCAATAAGCTCGCATCATATCAATAGATAATAATTATTATCGGTTAACTAGATAGTTATATTGACGGTTCGTGTACGAGCTCCACATCTTCTCGCCGTGGCAAGGAGGTGACGGATCTAAGTTAGAATTTGGAAATTCAAAATTCAAACAAAAGTAAGGAAGAGGAACATCATCCTCATCATTTCCATATTGTTCGAGTCCACAACTGAATAAAGGCCTCCCCCATAGAATCAAGTTAAGGAGTTCTTGATTATAAAAATTACCTGCCGAAGCTATAAGAGTACAGGAATGAGGTTCGTCAATTTTCCGTTATCTTTTTGTATTTAAGTCTTATGAAACCGTACTGAATATTTTAGAATATTTGCCCACATTATCAGTAGTTACATTTCTTGGTGACGTTTTTTAATTTACTTGCATAGATATCAGTTCTTTTTTCGACGTGAGCCAAGCGTTGAATCATGCCGAAGGGAATTATTTTTTCTCTATTAAAAATTTTAATCTAATTTCTTTTTCAAATCTATCGCGATCGTTTTAAAAACATAAACAAAAAGTTGATTAGGTTCCACCGAGATTTGAACTCGGATCGCTGGATTCAAAGTCCAGAGTGCTAACCATTACACCATGGAACCTTGTAACTAAGCGTCGAATTTTAGCTTCTAATTGCATCAAATATATAATTAAAATGAAGTAACGGATTACATAATGTATTCTTCCCTTTAATACATTGTTAAAAAACATAAATGTTCTGTCTGGTAATAATATTTGGAATCGTTGCAATTTAAAATTTCGTCAATAATGGCATAATGATGAAGTTTTAAATTGAAGACAAAATCAAAATATTTATGGAAGTAGATCAGATTACAAATTGAAATTTGTATTTGTTAATCTTGTATTTTTCGTTATCTTATATATTTAATTCTTATATATTTCTTTTTACGAATATTACGCCGTGATATTCTGTTTATTTTAATTACAATTATGTAAATAAGAATCATGATGTGAAAATGGATTGTCAGTACCCCTGCTGATTCGAGGGATATTATTTCTGGTCGTATCTTTACAAATTGTGATATTTACTTATTCATTAGTCTTCATCACGTGTCATCATGTCTTTGTATCTGAGTATATTTCAATGTTGTTTATAAACTGTCAACTATAAATTTACGAAGTCTGCAATACGTAAATAAGATAGCGTGTTATTTTGTCTCACTTTAGTTTTTATTGTACGTTCATAATACATATTCTATTCAACTTGTTGTCTTTTGGTGGGAATATTTTATAGTTTCCTCAGGTCTATTACCTAACAATCGCAGAGTGAAAGCCTACCGCTTAAGCCGTTTGATTTATACGTGCAATGCTTCTTTTTTTGTCTACTTAAATTGAATTAGTTAATTAACGCGTGACGTAAACGTTTACTAATGACCTAATTAGTCAAAAGTGTAATCTATCCCTATTTTATTAGGATGTCTTTGGTTTTTGCTACCTTAAGAGGGATGAAATATCCTTTTACACAATACTTAACAAACACAACTGCTGTATTTATGACCGCCCCTTTGTCTCTCAATAATTTTTCTTAGTTAAGGTTTGCTACGTACATTCTGACGTCCCCAAATAGTTTGGGGACGTCAGAATGTACGATCTGTTCACAAATATTCGTCTGAAAGAGAAAACACATGAAACACTTATCAAGTACACATTTCATTAGTATTAAGGTATTACGTAAGGTAGTACTATTTACGTGCACATGAACACATGATTAAATAATGACTAATAATATATGACCATGACTTCTGGAAAGTGTTTGAAACGTTCAGAATTTAATAACAAATTAAAACGCAATTATTTTTTATATGAGATGTTGGCAAGCGAGCCGGCGGTCCACCTGATGTTAAGCTATTACCGCCGCTCATTGACATTTGCAACAACCGTAGGATTGCGATGCCACCTTTTAATAAAGTGCGCCCCGGCTACCTCACTCAACAGACGAAACACAGAAGTATAACACAGAGAAATCTCCTACGTCATAACTTTCCAGTGAGTGAACGGATTTTGATGATTCTTTTTTTACTTGAAAGAGTTGAGCTGTTGCTTCCCATGTGGTCATATATTAATTTGACTTGTATTGGATCTTGGACTCCGAAGATAGATAGCTCCTGAAAATCGATTATATAACGAATACAGAGCGAGACATTTGAAGTCGGTTTTTGTTTTTCGTTAATAAAAAAAAATAGTTATATCCTCTCGGCCGCAGGGCCACGGGGTGATGGTGTTCGAGGACGGCACCCACTACGAAGGTGAGTTCAGGTCGGCGGGTGTGTTCTCCGGCAAGGGTGTGCTGACCTTCTCCAGCGGTGACCGCGTGGAGGGCTCCCTCAGCGGCGCTTGGACGGAGGGCGTGAAGGTCACCAATGCGGTGATGCAGCTGAACGTCTCCAACCCCGCCCCCGCCGCCAACGCCAAGCCCAGGTGAGGAGTTCCAGGGCTGCTGCACACCCCACTGTTGGGCGGTCGTTTTGCGTTAACGACTCTTCGACAGTTCATTCCAGTACGTTATGAACTAAATATACAGCGTGTCGTTACCATCGCGACAATAAATGGAACGTATCTTCGTATTTGAATAACTGCCACTGGTAATAACTGCCACTGCACGCAATAGTTTTCGCTGTTGCACGAATGAGCAGATCCGTCTGGGGAAGTACCACGACCTCACAGAAGACCGGCGTGGAGTGGAAGCGTTATACATCTGTGTTTCGTATGATGTGTGAGGTGTTCGGAGCCCACTTTATTAAACGGTGGGGACGCATGGACATTTGCGATCTACAGGTTGCAAATGTCCACGGGCTATCACTTAACATCATTTGTTTACGAAATTCCAAACAAATGGTACATTAAAACGGTAAACATACTGTATAAGGATATAAAATATTGTAAAAAAACTCTAATCACTTATTACTGGTTAAAATTACTGAATACGCGATATTAATAATACGTTTGGCATTGGTGGAGGCGAACGCCTCACTGACCGAATATACAGGGTGTTACAGAAAGATGTTGTAACATTTAAAGCCGTGTATATATATCAGACTTTGAATGAAATGGCATAATTTTAAAATACGAATCTAAGCATTTTTTGACGATAAAAATTAAAAAATTAATTAACTGTAACAACCCTGATTGTAGAAGTCACTGACCGCGCATCGGTGTTATCACTCCAAACTCACACACGCATACATCTGATCGCCCGACTTATTCCCCTCTCCCTCCACTCCCCGTTATGTCATTACCCCACCTCGGTAACCTTGACCCCACCCGTCGCTAAACTGCCATGACGACCGCATCGCGCTGCAATTCGCGGCGATGCTTAATAATAAAATCTGATTGACTTTTCTTTTGATTCCTGAATAAGTATTCACTATCGGGAAATTAAAGTAAGACACTGTTTTTATTACTTTTATTATTCTAAGTACATGTCCGCGTCGGACATAAAAACAATTTTTACATGGCATTATTAATAGTATCCTATAGACGGTCAAACATGTCCACGATTTTAACAATCACTTATAACTAATTACTATTGAAATTTTGGAATAAACATTAAAGGCTTTACAATGACATTTTGAAAGGTAACAAATCCTACAACGCCGATGAGTTTATTCAACACGACATCTATGATACATAATCGGATAACAATAACAAGAATATTTTTTAATTAAGATCAGTGTAAGGTATAAAATGATGTTTATTAAATACCTAGACTTTCTAATGAGATCAGCGTTTACTGAGTCAACCGCACACCCGTGCTTATCGGTTTCAGTTAGATAGCGGGCCACTATTATTTCACTGTAATAGCATGTCAGAACATAGACATTGTCACAACTTAAAACACACCGAAGTCCGAATAAAAATTCCCATAAAACCGGAGCGCTTCTTCATTTGCAAACAAACGACGCGTTCACGGTCAGGCGCTTCGGGCAATCGCTCATTCCAGCTCCTTTTTGTTAACTCAATGATCATCAGATCTAAATTTATTTCAGCATTCTTGCTTGCTGTTCACTTGTTTCGGCTTGTGGCAAATGCTTGTGGTGCAGTTGGTGTGCGTCAAATAGTACGCGCATACGTCCGAACTCCAGAACATCTTTGCAGAAATAATTCGTAGGTAGAAGCGACAGTTGCGTCAAAAGTTGGTGTACTCGTAGTAAAGTTCAAAATAAATCGATGGTAGTTCTATCCGCAGCACTGAATAATATCATGTAGTAATTACTGAGCATATGACTATGTCTGTGACAACTTTTATCAATAATAAATCGATAATTAAAAAATAAAAATCATTAAATAGACTTCATGCCTAAATGGCTGGAGAGTAACTGATTCGACAATTTAAATAACACAAAGAAAGCGACTTATTTACCTACCAAAGCGGTTTATGTAGTTAAACACATAAGCAACGTTTGTGCAGGACTACTTTGCCGCGCCGACAATAAGGTTACCATGTCTACTGATTAAAATATTAGGACGGGGGTTTAATAGGCAATAAAGTAATAAACTTTTTTTTTCGGTTTCTTTTAATAGTATTTTACCATTGACTACTACAAGAACTAATCAAATAACACTTTAAGAAGGTCAATTCCTTCTTTAAAATATCACAAAATTCAAACATAACCGTTGTGACTATTTAATCGCCTTACCTAATTTAGAAACTTTTGGACTCATTTGCAAGTATTTTATAAGTTATTTTTTATTTGTATTGTTTTAACCATTCCATTTCACTACTTCAATCAAGGCGACACACAACGCTGGAAAATAAAAAACCTTAATTTGATTATTTACAAATCCATGAGACAGTATGAAAATTTCTAATAAAAATACTAAAGTAATACTAGCTTGCAATTTAAGTATCAATTTTTCTAATTTTCTAACTCAAAGTAAAGACTAAGGAAGATCGGGATATTCCGCGAGAATCGGTACATCTGGTAACTGTACTTGAAACGAGCGCGGTAAGTACAAAGGTGGTCTTTGTTAACTGTTACACGCGCCGACAATCCACCTAACTTAGATTGATGAAAGTGACATAAAGGTCATTCAAAACACGTGTAATTGGTTCGAAGTATCACAACTGATAGTTTTGGATCTATGAAATTCTATTTTTATACTTTTATTTTTGAAGAATTTGTATACACTTATTGTGAATTAATACATGGAATTTTATACTGAAGCTAATAAATAAATTTTCAAAATATTCATTTTAAATAAGACCTGTAACATTTAGTTCACTTCTTGATTTATATTGGTTTGTAATTTTATTTTTCTTAAAAAAAATCCCTTAATTTAGGATAAAATTATCCTGTGTTGATATCCGTATCCCTATAGCCGTGATAGCTCAGTATCCGGGCACTCGCCTTTAATTCAATACACTCGAGCAACCTGAGTTCAATCCCCGGTGCCGGCACCAATGAGGTTTTTAACTTTAAGTGCTGACTTATCACGTGCTCCGCGGTGAAGGAAAACATCGTGAGGAAACCTGCATATTTTCGAAATAATAACAAAAAAAATATATTTCGAAGATATCTGAAGTCCGCCAATCCGCAGTGGGGCCCTTATACCCTCTGTATAGAGGCCTTTGCCCAGCAGTGGGATATGTATAGGCTGTTACTTTACTTTTTATCCTATGTTGTAAGGACATTTTACAAACATAAATTTCACGCAGACAAACACCCAGATGCGAAAGAAATATCTGTGGGCCACATAAATAGTTGTCCCGTGTGGGAATCGACCCCAAGACGCCTGACGCCGAAGCCTTGTCAACTGCGCCACGTAGTCATTGAATTGTGAAACGAGTATTTTAAATCATATTTTCATTTTTGCTCACAAAAATAACAGCTACGATTTGTTTATAAAACCTACCAGTCGTCTGATCGAATGTCGTGGTTGTAACATGTAACCGTTACTTTACTATGCATAATATTTTTTGTATTAGAGGCTTCCTGCTCTAAAATAGTAGAATAAAGTATTGATTTGGTAAGACAATAATTATAAAAATAAATGAGACAAGACATTTATTATGTTTTAAAATTTTAGTCTACCTAATAATACAAAAAATTTAAAAATATGACAATAATATTAAATATACGGCTTCCTTCCATGAATTTATGCTTATGATCTTCAAAAAAGAAAGTCTATTTATGTAAGTACTAGAAATTTGGTCATAAACTAAAGTTAGTGTTTGGTTGATCGATTTCAGATAAAGATTACTTATAATATCATTGTCACACTAATTGTAATACATACAGTCTATGCTGTTGATAAAAATGCTCTTTTTATCAACAGCATAGACTATTTTATAAGTACATATTGAATGAAATCATTATCTTTTCATTAATCTATTTATATTATTATACCTTTACTAGCAACCCGCCCCGGCTTCGCACGGGTGCAATGTATTATACATAATTATAAACCTTCCTCTTGAATCACTCTAGCTAGTAAAAAAAACCGCGTCGAGATCCATTACGTAGTTTTAAAGATCTAAGCATACATAGCGACAGACAGACAGCGAGACGACTTTGTTTTATACTATGTAGTGATAGTGATTGATGGAATTCATTATTTTTTCATTAATCTATTCATATTATTATACTATAATCATAAACCTTCCTCTTGAATCACTCTATGTATTAAAAAAACCGCATCGAGATCCGTTGTGTAGTTTTAAAGATCTAAGCATACATAGGGACAGACGGACAGCGGGACCACCTTGTTTTATACTATGTAGTGATTACTGTATTTCGAATTTCATTTCGTATGATATTTCGAAGATTAATGAATCGAGCATTTTAAAACCCAAAACACTTTATAGAAAGAAAAACCCAATACATTAGTAAATTTTGACGACAGATCATTTTATAATTTAAATTTTTATCAATTTGGTTGTCCAGGTTTTTCGAATTGTTGAATTTAGATAATTTTTTTGATGTCACGGATATCAAAAAATACGGTCAAATTAAATAAAAATTATTGAATTAAAAATGTATTCACTCTTAATTTGTCTAATACAAATAGGCACAACACGTACTATTACCATTGTTAATTAAATAACTGATAACCGTAAATAGTCATAAGTCAATCTACAAGATGGCACTGTTTCATATTTAATAATTTTGGGCAAAAAAAAAAAAAATACGAAAAAATTTATACAAATTGACTTTACTATGTTCAATACAAATAAGCATTTAGACATAAAAATTAAAAAAAATAATAATTGTGGACTATATTTTTAAATAATTTGTAATTTTTTTTTTGTTTTTTTATGAAAGTATGGAGGTTCGCGCCAATATTTTTATTTTAACAATTAAAAGTTTTTGCGGAAAGTATTAAATATATTAGCGTTCTTAACGAGACGCGTTGAGTCGATGTGAAAAGACATCGACTCTCGGGCTCCGAGCTTGTTCGGTTGGTGGCAGCACGTGTAGTTATTTATCGCGCGCGATTAACAAAAATTAAAAAACTCTGCAAAGAAATCATGAACTTTTTCTTTATTATGCGGAACCAAACAAATACCATTAACTTGATATTAGATGGATACCTTATTAAATGTCAATAAAAATTTTAGTCCATAATAACAGCTTAAACTTAATTTTCGGTACCTATTAAATTAATTGCATTAATTATTATTCAGTGTACAAAGCATTCTGAAAAAAGTAAAAAAAAAGTAATTTCATGGATCCATAAGCATAACTATCATTTTATAGTTAGTTATGATTCTTCGATCTAATTACACGTGTTTTGAATGACCGTCTATTCAAATCCATCAGTCCACGTGGATGGTCGGCGTCAAACAAAGAACGCCTTTGTATTTACCGCACTCCCTAGAACTAGTGTTACCAGATGTACCGATCCGCGTGGAATATCCCGATATTCTGATGTTCGGTCATCCCGAATTTTTATAGACCTTAGTCTGTACTTTGTGCTACAATTTTGATAGGAAAAATAAACAAAACTGTAAGCTGCCATCACGTGAAAATAATTTTCCTCTGAAATTTTCACATTTTCTCATGAAGTTAGTAGTCTGCATAATAGTTAAAATAACTTAAGCTTAAAATAATACTTGAAAATGAGCCAAAAGCTCTAAATAGTAGATTATTTTGTGGTATTTTAAAGAAGGTCAACTAGATTCTAAATGTTTTGTTTGATTTTTGTCTACTACAAATGAAAAATATCAATGGTAAAATACCATTAAAAGAATACCTGACCTTCCAGCAATAGTTAAATGTTGATTCACAAAAAGTTTTTGTTATAGCTATGCTGATTTGAAAATTAAATAGCCAATTATTTTCTCCCGTCCTGTAATATTACTCAGTAGACATGGTAACATTATTATGCGAGCGGCGAAATAGTCCTCAACAAACGTTTCTTATGTACTTAACGACATAAGCAGCCGAATGCCGCTTAGGTAGTCCAATACATAAAATATGCCGTCGCTTCGTTTGTGTTATTTAAACTTTTAATTAAATCACAATCAGTTACTTTTTAGACATTACGGTGTGAAGACAAGTTCGTGATTTTTATTTTTTATTCTCGATTAGTTATTGATGACAGAAATGCATATGCTAAGAAATTGCTTAATAATATTCGGTGTTGCGGAGAGAAATGCCGTCGATTTACCTTGAAACTACATTATTGGTTTTTTCGATGACAGGCAGTCTTTGACGCCATAAGTATTAAGAAGAAACGCCAAAAGACAGCTAGCAAGAATGCTGAAATAAATTTAGAACAGCTGCCAGTTGTGTTAAAAAGGAGTTGGTAGGATCGGCCCTCGTCTGCATCCGCGCCCTATATGCGTCGTCCCCTTAACCCTTGACCTTGGTGTGTTTTATAATATTATCGCGTAATGGAACCGACCGACACCGATAAGCACGAGTTTTCTTAGTAAACGCTGATCTCATTGGAATGTCTAGGTATAGGTTATTTATTTAAAATAAAGATTTTATTTTTTTAACTTTATAATTACATTGAACTTACTTAATTCGAAATTTATTTTTGTCATTATTATGTATTATGTATCCGCTATAACATGATAATGTATCTCACTGATGTTGTGTTGAATAAATTTATCGGCGTTGTAAGATTTGTGAGTAAGTATAACCTTCTAAAATGTTTGTACCTTCCACTGCAAGCAATTAAATGTTTAATTCAAAATCTCAATACTAAAAAATTATAAGTTACAGTGGACATTGTGAATATGTTTGACCAACTATAGGATTCTATCATTAATTCCATGTAAAAAATGTTTTGAAAAATAAACGTAGTAAAAATAGTGTGTTTGTGTTTTATTTCCTTATAATGAATACTTATCTTTAATCAAAAGAAAAGTCAATAACATATTAAGTAGGGCTCATGGACTACCAGTATAGCTATTTCGTGTCTATCTGTTGTGACAAAATCCGATAAATTCAAATAAATTTTTATGATAAGCACGTTGTTTCATAGCATCGCCAGGACCTGCAGCGCGATGCGGTCGTTGTCAGTTTGGTTGGCGAGGGGCGGGCGGAGGGGACCGATAAACTTGAGGAGCGGGAAGTGGGGTAATGACGTAACGAGGAGTGGAGGGAGAGGGGAATAAGTCGGGCGATCAGATGTATGCGTGTGTGAGTTTGGAGTGATAACACCGATGGGCGGTCAGTGACTTCTACAATCAGGGTTGTTACAGTTAATTAATTTTTTAATTTTTATCGTCAAAAAATGCTTAGATTCGTATTTTAAAATTATGCCATTTCATTCAAAGTCTGATATATATACACGGCTTTAAATGTTACAACATCTTTCTGTAACACCCTGTATAATATTGGGCCGAATGCACGCATTTAAAATGTGCGTAAGATGCAATAATAAAATAAGAATGATGAACTGTTCGGTTGCGTAAAACCCAACAATTGGTGGTAGATACTGATTTGATGTATTGTTGCTTGGGTATAATTTCCACAATTTAGCCTTCGAAATGTATCTAATAACGGTAATCTAGTTCTAATTTTTCTAAATCTTTTGTATATTCCATGTTCTTGTTGGTTAAATAGAGTGTTTATTATTAATGGGGGGGTGGGTGGGGATATTAATTTGTTTCCTCGTCTGATTGGGTTGATAAATAAAAACAAACATACAGTCATATGAATTGTATGTAATAAATAAATAGGACCCTACCGGATGCAAGCTCTCGGTAGGGGAGACAGTCGAAGGTTATTATTTACAGTTCTCTTGTACCGTTTGAATGCTCGCACAAGCAACGTATCTGCCGCAGCTCTTTCGGGAAGCTGAGCGTGGCCCCTGGCCAGAAGTGGAACGGGCTGTTCCGCCAGTGTCTGCAGTGCCTGGGCGCACCAGAGGCGCCCCCTAGCTCAGACCCCGTCGACAACGCGAAGCTCTGGCAGAACTTGGCGGTCGCCATCTCGTGCTCGCACAAGAAGGGGAAGCCCCAATCCGTAGGTGCCGACCTCGAGAAGTCGGAAGACCGCCTCGAGGTGATCCCGCGCTTCGGCCAGCGGAGCCTGGATTGCGAGGACTACGCGGAGCTGAGGCAGTATCTGAACAACGTGAGCGCTTTCGAACTTTCGCCTTTTTTTATGTGAAAAAAAAATTTTTGAGCCTGAATTTGACACACGGGTGGGTACACGCTACTGACCGGTCGGGATCAATCCATCTACCATGGAGTGGTTCGAACGAGCAAAAAACGGTGTCAAACCTAAGTCTTGCCTTGGAAATAGAGTATGATTCCTAAATGCAAACTTAAATAAATTTCGTATTGAGTGCGAATTAAACTCATTATCTCGCTATAGGGGTTTTTATAGTTTACATTTTATTTTTATTACAGGCCGCATTTGAATAAATCTACAACGATATACAACGCGAAAATATACTTGCTTATTTTGCCTACTTTCACACAGCAACGGAACAATGGTGACCTTTGTGCATAAACACTTTGTGGGCTACTTTTCCTCGTTGAAAAATACACGTTTCTAGTAGAATACATTTGCAGCGAAATTCTAGAACTTTATTTAAGTCGCCATTGATCTACGGAAGCGAAAACACGTGCATGAACTTTCTTTTTAATGAAAAAGTAACACGCGACGGTTTCGACACAGACGGTTCACTTGATGCTAAGTGATGACCGCCCCTCATGGAAGTAACACCACAGAGATTGTAGATGTACTAATTGCAATATTGAATAAAAGTAACGGCCTATACAAATCCCAATGCTGGATAAAAGCATTCTCTGTGTAGAGGGTATTAGGGCATAGCGACCCCACTGCACGCTGGCAGACTTGACATATTTTCGAAATATCCTCTATTTGCTATTTCGAAAATATACAGGTGTCCTTCACCGCTGAGCACACGAAAATTCAACACTTAAAATTGACTATTTCATTGGTGCCGAAAACGAAATTGGACTCAGATTTCTCTTTTATATTAAATTAAAAGCAAGCTTGTATTAAATATTGGAGCCGTGATAGCTTAGTGTCCGGGCGCTCGCCTTTAATTCAATTTATTCGAGCAACCTGAGTTCGATCCCCGGTGCCAGCACCAATGAAATTGTTAATTTTAAGTGCTGATTTATCACGTGCTCGGCGGTGAAGGAAAACATCGTGAGGAAACCTGCATATTTTCGAAGTAATAACAAAAAAAATATATTTCGAAAATATGTGAAGTCCACCAATCCGCAGTGGGGCCGCGTGGTGGACTATGCCCTGATACCCTCTTTACAGAGGAGGCCTTTGCCCAGCAGTGGGACATTTGTAGGCTGTTACTTTACTTCTTTTGTATTAAAAGTAAGCACCCGGACACAGAGCCCTCACGGCTCTAATGCTACTAAATTACTAAGTTCCGACTGTCGTCTATTTCTCATATAACCCCTCAGGCTTGCGAGTCGAACCACCACCCTTTGGGCCAACTGGTGCTTGGTTTGACGAGCGCGTTCAACACCACGTATGGGGGCGTTCGCGTGCACCCGTTGCTGTTGAGCCACGCCGTCAAGGAGCTCAAAAGCATCACCACCAGGCTGTACCAAGTTGTCAGGCTGCTGTTCCCCGCGCTGCCGCCAGATGGCGCCGAGCTGGTGCTCACCAGGCCCGAAGACCCCAGCGACCTCACAAATGGGTGAGTCCATAAAGAACGATACCATGCTCCCGCCCCCACCAGAAATAATCACTGCAATAGAACCACCGCTGTGCGAACTCAATTCCTCTATGCCCTAGATACGGAATTCCTCTATGAAATTTGGCCAAGACGAGTAAACACTATCCACTTCCGAATGCCGAAAGTGAAGAAATATATGGATATTAATAAAAATATCAATATCGGCCTCGATATATCGAAGAGATTATACTTTTTAGGCCCTGTCATCCAAAAAAAAAACGTATGCCATGCGTTAAATGTTTCAACGTACGGACTCTGTCCCGGATTCGAAAATTTTAACATACATCGTTTTTGGTAAGATTTCGATATTGAACATTATACAGCGTGTCGTTACCATCGCGACAATAAATGAGCACACGTCTATCGCTACTTGCCAATAATCATAAAAAAATATTAACGTTAAACAAAATCCATAATTAAAAAAAAATATTTGTCAAACAAACTAATTAAGGAAAAAAGAAAAAAAATTGTAACATCCTATACAACTCGCGCCACAGCGTCGAATTACAAGCCTCTCCTTCTAACAGTATGTTTTGTCTCTTTTAAATTCATTCAACCCATTCATATGCTTTGTGACCTTTACAAATGAATTTTACGTTACGCTTTTATAGGTTAGGGTGTTCTAAAATTCTTTGTTTTGGAAAATTTCATAACCCTGTAAATATTGATGTTTAAAGAATTCAAATGTTTAATACAACTTTAAAAAGTTATCCCCTATATGTGTGTTCATTTATTGTCGCGATGGTAACGACACGCCGTATATGTCGGATCAAAAAATATCGATACATTTAATGAAAAGTTTCGGTGTATCAATGTTCCTCCGGCGTCCCAGGGAGGCGGAGGTGGTCTCCGCGGCGGCGCTTCTGCAGCCGGCTCTGCTGCCGCGCGTCCACCCGGCGCTGTTCGTGCTGTACGCGTTGCACAACAAGCGGGAGGACGACCTCTACTGGCGGCGGCTGCTCAAGTGGAACCGGCAGCCGGACCTGGCGCTGATGGCCTTCCTCGGCATCGACCAGTGAGAATGGAATATGATGTCTTTTTTTACAAAAACACTGCCCTCACTTTAGGATTTTAACGGCGGTAGAGCCACGCAGCAGCCTCGGCTGTTGCACGAATGGGCAGGCTCGTCCGGGTAAGTACCACGACCTCACAGAAGAGCGGCGTAAAGTGGAAGTATGACAAATAATTTCGCGTTTCGTCTGGTGAGTGAGGTAGCCGGAGCCCAATTTCCAAAAAGGTTGTCAACGCATCTGCAGACCCTCGGGTAAATTTCACGCGTACAAACATCCAGATGCGAAACAACTATCTGTGGGTCACACAAATAGTTGTCCCGTGTGGGAATCGAACCCATAACCCCCGACGCCGAAGCCTTTTACTTTTGCGACTGCGCCACGGAGTCATCGTTATATAGAAACCATTTATTCAAGACATCACACAGCGCCAATTTAGTAAACGAAACACATCAATAAATGTAACTATGTTTACGGATATATCGCGTTTATTTTTAGTTTTATATCCCGACCTTTCGAACCCTTTACAGCGGACAAACTGTCCCGTGACCATGAACGCTGTAAAGGGTTTCACAGTTTAATTTAATAATGTGTAATCGCTAAATGTAGAAACATTTGGTACAGAGCGTCTGGTTGCGTCACACGGAAGTACGAATCCTGGTAACGGCGAAAAATTTTGCGAATGTTTTATCAACACAAAACCTACTTGAAATATCTAACGGTTCGTCAAAAGTTTCGTCTTGAGTGAATTCAGCTTGATGCTTGTAACGAGGTAAAATAAAAATAAAAAGAGGATGATCGAAGCAGCTACCTACAGTTTCTTCATGCAAACTTTGTTTTTCTAGAAAATTCTGGCTCGGCTACACGAACCCGCACTGCAACAAACAACTGTCGCCACCACACTCGCCCCAGAAGGACCAGCTGTTCCAAGAGGCGGTCGAGACGCTGCAACAGCTGAAGACCACCTTCTCGCCGATCGAGAAGCTTCTTGTTATTCGTAGCACATTCCAGAAGATGACCACTGCCGTGCAGCAGCAGTTAGGTTAATACGCTGCATCAGTTTTAGAATTAGGCTATGCTGTTAATGCGTTGCGGTTGAACAGAATTTGTTATATATTTTTTTTCTTTCCCTACTCATAGTGCGTTGTGATTTCGGCAGGCGCCAGCTACCTGTGGGGCATGGACGAGCTGTTCCCCGTGTTCCAGTTCGTGGTGGTCCGCGCGAGGATCCTGCAGCTTGGCTCCGAGCTGCACTTCGTAGAGGACTTCCTCGAGCCGACTGCGCAGCGAGGAGAACTCGGCCTCATGTTCACCACGCTCAAGGTAGGCACTTATACTTTATGTTCACCACACTCGGGTGGCCCTTACACGTTATGTTCACCACGCTCAAGGTGGGCCCTTATACTTTTATGTCCAACTCGCTCAAGGTGGGCTTTATACTTTATGTTCATCACGCGTAAGGTGGGCCTTTTTAGTTATGTTCACCATGCTCAATGTGGGCCCTTATACGTTATGTCCACCACGCTCAAGGTGGGCCTAATACCTTATATTCACCACACTTATAGTAGGCCTTATACTTTATGTTCATCACGCTCAAGATCGGCCTTATACCTTATATTCACCACGCTCATTGTGGGCCTTGTACAGTGGTTTCATTTATTATAATTGCGAAAATATAACAAATAATCGCGCAGCGTATCGGCTTATATTATCCTAAGAATTTTTATGGTGTATATAACTACAAGTAATTTTTTATCTATTGTTTCCAGGCTTGTTACTTCCAGATTCTTCAAGAGAAAATGTCCATAAATTGATAGTATGGAAGAGAATTAAATAAACATGAACATATGATCTCTCAACACATTCATAAAATTTGGTGAATTAATTTAATTTAATTAAGTAATTTATCCATCCATAAATATACTCTTTAGTTTACAAATTTTATGGTTAAACTATTTTTGTGGTTAAAAATAATTGCATTGGAATTTGCAAAAAAAATTTTTTATTTGACGAAAGGAATGTAAAAGAAAAATGAAGTAACACATAACCAAAAATTTTCAATCCTCAATAAATGTAAAATGCAATAATTAGTTGTTAGTGAAGTCTACTTTTAATAAGAATCCATAAATTATTACCTATTAAAATTAAGGTGCAAGACTCAAGATCATAGAGGAACTAACATGAGCGTCTTAAAAGAGCAATATCCTGATAGTCATTATAATATTTATGCGATATTTAAATAGTTGATTGTGAATAAATTTATTTATTTAGTGTAAAAGCCATTCCTTTCTTTAAGAAGTATAATTAAAAGTAGAAAATAATATCCTAGGAAATAAAAATTAGGTTATTTGATATACGGTATATTGCTGTACGATAAATTTCTCTCACCACTTTGTTAAATGTTGTCTGCAGTTTTGTTTCTGTTTATTTAAATTGTTTTATTTTGAAAGTGCCAAAAATGACCAAATTGTTATATTTTGTTAAGTTTACTGTTTCTTTAGGTAACACTGTTAACCAGTGTTATCAAAAATTAAGAATTCGCATCCCACTATTCAGCAATTCTCCGAATATTAAAAAAAGAAACCGGGAAAAAAGAAAGAATTGTGAAGATATAAAAATAGGAAGAAAGAAAGAGATAAATAGTAATGACATAAGTTTATATCCAACTATTTTTTATGTAAGTCAATGATATTTTATACTATAGATATGTTATACCGTTCGCGTTTCTATAAAAATGATAGCGTAATTAAAGTAATAAGAAAAAAAAGGCCGTGGCAAGTGTTTGCTACTTGAGCGTAAGTGTGACAAATCTCGAGGAGCATCCGACTTTCTCTTCCCCGTATTAAACTATTTGTTGCCTCTTGCTTTGTTTTTTTTACCTACCATAAAATATAAGAAAATAATTGAAATTACTAATAAATTGAAGATATATTGCATTGTTTACGTGACATGAGATCTTTTAAAGAGACACGACGGCATTTAATTTTTGACACTGCGTCCTACTAGCCGCCCTTACTAATGTCACAAGACGTCTCAATTGCGACTTTTTTTATAGCTTCACTTCCCACGCGTTAACAACGTATCTGTAGTATAAAATATCATTGAATTAAGTAAAGTATTTGAACAAAAGGTTAGACAGTTATTTTATCATTTGGCATTTAGCCATGAATAGTTTCTTATCAATGTTCATTACCAATAAAAAAAATAGTTTTTAACAAAAAACTGTATATAAATCTTTATAAGATTGTGTCGTCATAATTATTTGGGTTTTAATTATAAAAGACACAGAATTCGTTGAATTATTACCGTAAATAACCGTGCTATTAAAATTATAATGCATCCTTGTTTTGACATAATACATCTCATTATATTGTATTATATCGCCTTTTGGTTAAATTTTTGCAATTTACTGTGTCGTGTTCAATATTTGTAAGGCTTTGTTTCGTGTGATATAAACATTGCTTAATATAAAAAATTGAGCTCTTATAAATTATCTGAATATTGTGAGCAATAATGGGCCTATTGTATTTATTATTAGTGACTTTCTTGTAGCTTCTTGATTACTATAGTACAAACAGTTGTTACGCTTTACCAATTCAAACTTACCCAATCAAACATTGATTACTAATTTTTGAAGTTAAAATCAATCCTGTACGATGATGACGCCAAAGATTTTTTATGTACTCATAAGTAAAAGCAGATCAAAATAATGAAATCATTTACAATGTAACATGTTGTTATCAAGTTAACATAGCATATCATTATAGCTAGGATGTTGCGTAATTCTTAATATATACATATTTCTTGTCATATTTATATAATGGTACGAGTGATGTAAATTACAAAGAAGATAGAATATAACACACACATTTAATAAAACGTTCTCAAGTAATAATTGTATTTTATTAAAATCATCTTAATATTCAGAGGATAAATTTTATGCTATGCTTAGTAAAAATAACTATTAAAATGTTTTGAAAAAGACACTTAAAAGCCTTCTTGTTCCATACATATTACATATGTAAATACAAAATAGACAGTTTTAATTGACTGAAAAATAACACACAGTGAAATTGTTTATTAAGGCTATTTATTTCATTCCTATAAAATAACATACCAAAGGTCTCTTTTGTACAACACGATATCAAAAATGTACACCGTTATATAAATTTCGTCTCAGGTAAATGTTACCTAGCTACTCTCACGATTCCCTCTATAATCCATGGCTATTACACATCATAAATATAATTATTATAGTCCTCTCACTTCCTTAATCTCTGATAGGTACAAAATGTTCATAATAACCCACATATATAGTCCTGTAATGCTGTACAATATATCTACAATGTGCGAACATCTAGTTACTGTTACTCAATTCATTGTTAATCGAAATATCCTAAATTATAATCATTAGTGATAGAATTGCTAACTTTATGAAGCACTTTTATTGAAAAACCTGAACGGAAAAATTCTGCATTAATTAATGACGTCATAATTAATGCAATATTGAATTTAAATATTGAAATAAAGTGCAAAGTTATATCTGAAAGTGTGAAGTATAGAAAATCGATTAGTTATTTTGCTCACAGTGAGTTTGCAGTGAAAAGGAAAAATGGACACGGCTAGAATATTTAAATGGAGTATTTTTTTTTAAATTAGCCTGAAGGCAAGAATAACTGAACTCGGATCAATTAAAATTGTCGCAACATTACGAAAGACATGTGGTACAGCATGAACACAACCTTACAACGTCTACTTTAAATCACCTTTATCTATAGACTTTTGTTCGCTTTCAACCTGCAATGCCGTTACGGATTTGTACTTTCTTTACAAGCAAATCATGGGATAAAGCAGAACTCGACTTTGAGGATAGCACAGATTAACAAAATTCTAAAGTTATTTAACATGGCAACTACGAATGGTATCATGGCAACTGTTTGAGTAACAATTTTAGTTAATATCACTGACCAAGCAGAGGCACTATTCAATCCCAGCGCTTCGTCTTTTATATTAATCGCTATACTAAGCGCATATTTAAAGTTTTTACCGCCGACACTCGCCTAATTAAAAAAGCACCAGATTAAAAAAGAAAATCGAGTTCCGATACATTCCTTTATAAGTCAAAGTGAAAATATTGAAATATAACGATTGTTATTGCGTTAAAAATCACTTCATTCTCTTTCCATAAAAAATACCTTACATACCGATTAAATTACATTATATAAAAACATGTTGCGAAATCAACTTTACAACAACGAATACCCGATCTCGCTAATTAATCGTTACAATATAAAATAATTTTATTTTTACACAATAAGACATTAATAGCAAAATATCAATCGAATTTTTATTGCATGCATTTAAATCAAATTAACAATATTAAGTTCCTTACTAACATAATTGGACGATTCCGGTGTGAAATTACTACAATTTAAAGGAAACCGGTTAAATGTTCTAATATTAAAATTCACGGGGAGGTATTCTCTAAATTGTCTGTTTTAAATCAATGTTCCTCTGTAGAAACTCGGTTATTTCAAACAACAGAATGCTTACAACTATAGAAATCAACATATAAATTACTATAACGTTTCTATTTCTATGTGTTAATGCTTACAAATAAATGCCGTCTATGGGTGTTAACACTCGATAACCGCACGTTACCTTGTAATCCACGTAAGCCATTTTTATAACATAAAGAAGGCGATATGTATGAGACACAATATCAGAGAAGCAACTTACGTACTAGCTAGCAGACACGTGCGCATTTATATGTAAGTGAATTCGACATTATAATTGTCGATTAGATCATATATATTAGACTGAAACATTTGTACGTGAAGTGCTACGTGGGTAATTGACCTATTAAATATTATAATTCCATACAGTTATTGTAAATGACACATGACATTTTAATATAAACTGTGCAGTGTTTGGGAGTGGATTACAGGTCGACATGTATACGTGTCAGTAGCTTATATAACTTTACGAACTAGCTGTATTGAATATCTAGTAACTATATGTGGAGGTTATATACATACACCGGCATAGTCACTAAATAACAAACTAACATGTACAATACGAAAATAATGATTTCGATTAAAAAAATCATGATTTAAAAGAATTGAGTTACATGATTTTAAGTTAATAAAAATCTTATTTACACGTCTACTATCAAAACAATAATAGATCAATATTCGTTAAAAGGAAAAAAAATATAAAGATAAACAATAAAACCTTTTTGCTAAGCAAATAAAGACAAACAATAAATAGATGGCTTTGATAGGCCAAAGAGAATTAAAAAGTAAAACTGTATATATTCTGTATGCCATGTGAGAGCCATTGTCTGCATTTTCTTCATATTGTTTTGTTTTTTATTACTCTAACACAGAGCCGAATGTGCGTTACAAGTAATACAAAATTTTACAGTCAAAATTTCCAATCGCTTAATCAACTAATACTGAAAGCACCATTTTATATTACCTAATTAATCAAACCCTAATGTAGATCAATTATAATTTCAAATTGTCAATGCTTCTAAAATTTCATTGCGTTTTATTTTACGGAACTGTCTTCGCCACAAAAATTTCGGCACTGTTGCAATCATTTAATAATACCAATATACTTTTATTACAATGTAGATTATTAAGTTATACAATTTTCAAATATATGTTGTTATACAATATATTGTGTCTTCCATTCCCGATTGTATTGAATGTAGCAGTTCCAATGACTTTATAAGTGTAAAAATATTCTTGGAAAATTCATTCCTTTCGTAGCTATAATAATTCTTTGTCACCTACTATATATAACTAGGTAATACTGAGGGGATATAAGTAATGTGTAGTGTCTTTACTCCACGGTCAAAGCTCAATAAATCATTTAGGGGTATAATAAAATAATCATGATTCCAATATAATTTCCTATTTCGTCATGAATATAAAACTGAAGATATCAAATATACACATATATGAAGGATTGACTTCTTATTGTCACCGATACAATTACAATATATTAAAAATAAATGGGATAAAAAATAGACTGTGATAATTAAATTGTATCTTATGCAACAAATAACTGATGCATAAAGTTTCAACATTGAGAACATTACGCAAGTGCACACGATTGTGAAACATTTAGGCTGCAATTACATTATTATATATCTACACTTTCTTTTTTCATAATTATTGCTTTAGAAAAATAACTTTCATTTTCCGAATAAAATCTATATCATATCTTATTTAAAAAAAAAAGCACAGATGACGTCGACGTTGCTAATGTTATGGAACAAATAAGTATTAAAAAAGGAGGCATGTGTCATTTTAGAAAATAAAAAAAAATCTGATAGTACATTCTTAGATTAGGATTATGTAACGGCAGTCATTGTGTGATTGCTTCTGCAATGATACTTTTTTATACTATACATTATATTAGTCAATCTAAGGCAGGGACCACAAAATTCAACTCAATACAATAAGAAAGACATGGAATATCTATCTTATGGTGCCGGGGTTTTTAAACGTATTTACTCCACGGCGAGTATCATTAAGTTTAGTGATGTGCTCCGTCCTCGAACAGTATTTTCGACGATTCATTCTTATATTTGCTTATGTTAAACATATATTTACAGCATTCTTCAGTGCTGGATACTAAGAGTAAAATACCAGTCGAATTCAAAAATTCGTAATTACTTCAAGTCTATCTATAGTTGAAAATGTCAAAACGCAAGACTACACAACGAATGGCTGGAACATAAAACAGTCGCGAATACTTATTGCAAGTCACATTTCAGTACGAAACGTTGGATTCATGACTGCAATAATCTTACCAATATTTGATCCCAAGCGCGATATAAATAGACAAAATCAATCGACAATATTATCGATTATAGTCATCAGACACATAGATTAAAACATCGACTTTTTTACACTTTTTAAAAATTGTCTTCAATACGTTAAAATATTGATAGGTTACGCACATACTGCTTAATGCAAGCTTGACAGCGAGAAAGGGAAAAGTTAAATAATAAAAAAAAATCACAAAAATTCATCATACAGACCACTTACGCACTAAGAAATACCTAAAATGTATAATAGGTACAAATAACGACCTTACTATCCAGAAGGCAAAATTGGCACTTAATACGAAGTTCGCTCCTTTCTTTATGATAGTCTCGAGGAAGGCTGCGAGCGGGTTCGTCGGTCGAGGGTTCGATTCGGATGCGTGAGCCGCAACGGCGTCATGCGAGCGGACGTTGCGGATTTCGCGCCCGTTGCGGTTCTCGTGTTCGCCGTCGGTCGAGGGCGTATCGCAGTCCAGACACGTCTCGCGGATCTCGGGGAAGTGATAGACCGCGTCGCTCATGCGACAGTGGCCGACGTACGGGCCGCGGTGATCGCGGATCTCGCGTATCTCGCACGCACGAGACGGGGGACGGACGCGCGATGCGGGCTGTTTCGCGCGGGCTGCCCGCCGCCGGCCGATCTGGGGCGGACGTGGCTCGGCCCGCCGGCGGATCTGGGCCGGTCGCGTCTCGGCCCGCCGGCGGACGTCGCCCGCGCCGGCGTCGTGTCGGTGTCGGTGTCGGTGTCGGTGGGTGGTTGCGGGGCGCGGGGGGCGCGGGGGGCGCGGCTATGCGGGCGGCGGGCTGCCCTGCGCCGGGTTGTACGGGTGGTTGGAGTTGCGCAGCACCGTGTACACGCTGTCCACCTTGCTCAGCTTCTCGAAGAACGGTATCAGGTCGAGCAGCTCCGAGTCGGTCATGTCGTCGAACCAGGAGGCGACTGGAACCTGCGGCGTGATAGGTTATTATGAAGTGCATCGTTAATTTTGTTTTCTTCAGGCAGCAAAAGATATCCAGTAAGAACATTAAAACATGAAGAAAAAGTACGAAAAGATTGTCGCCACTGTGGGAATCTTTTCGTAATTTTTCTACATGTTTTAATGTTCAATATTAAGTGCAGAGATTAGCACTATAAAAAACTTTAAAATTATCGAATAAGAAGTTATTTTACATAGGGTCCGCTACTGCTCTAATGACTGCTCAATTAATAATGCGAGCTCCACTATTATTACTAATTCTGACACCATAACTGATAACTAATAACTACTAACGAAACAGTTGCAATAATCAATTGCCTCCACCACCGTTTCTCTCTCGTTTGACAACTTTTCGCATAAAAAAAAATTGAATGTTACAGATGATGAACGTAAAATACGGAAAGAGATAGCAGTCTACAGGATTGCAATCTTATTGTTGGTGCAATTCGAATTCCTCAGTTTCGTGTCATATCTACCTCGTATAACCCTCACTCCGTGTACCCGCATAACACAAAGCACACTCACAGCGTTATCCGGATGGAAAATGTAGGAGGCGGGCGAGTTGTCCACGATGACGACCCGCCTCAGATCGCGGCCCAGGCTGTTCAGGTCCTTCACGTAGTTCCCCCGGTGGAACACGCAGCTGTCGCGGAACAGACGCGCCCGGAAAACGCCCCATCTAGAAGCGAAAACAATTTTAACTCGTAGATTTTTTATTTAAATCGAGTTATGTTGTATTGTTTGTGGAAAAGGGTTGGGTAACTACCGACGACTTCTGCGAGATATGTTGTCGGCTTCCCTTCGAAACCAATGCCCCTTGCTATAGTATAACGTTATCCTGTGTTGTAAGGACGTTTTATATACTTGAATTTCGCGTGGACAAACAGCTAGATCCGAAACAGTTATCTGTGGGGGGTCACACAACTAGTTGTCTCGTGTGGGAATCGAACCCACATCATCGAAAGACATCGTGAAATAAAAATTATCTCACGTCAGGGTAATGATATTATAGTCCGTGGTCGGTAATATACGAAATCAAAATGTTTATGAATCGCACGGCTAGAATGTTTAGACTACATCTGATTGTCACTGAATGTCTTATACAGAATATTAACAAAGTACATGACATTTGTTGTTATATACTTACTAATATATAACAACAAATATATTACATATATAGTAATATATAGTGAAAGAATTGTGAGGGCAGAATATGCTTGATTGATGATATCTGTCTTTACAAAATCAACTCAATAAAAATTAAAACTAACTATATTATATAGTAAAACATATAGTTTTATTTAAACTAAAAACAGCAAGAAATAAATTTAGTGTCGTACTATTTCTGTCACCTGCTTACGGACATTGACATTATCAAATGTTAATCTTCTAATGTAAATATTGATTAGTATTGTTATAATCTTTTCACTTTAAATATTATATCTATTGTTTCGTAGTTATTTAATCGATACCCGTTCTTTAGGAATTAAATCTAGAATAAAATTTGTGTTGGCAGTAATGTTAATTAATAAACAAATATCTAACGCGAACCACTTAAATTGTTATAATGGAGGATCATTTCACACGTTACCATTAACCTATTATTAACCTAAGCGAAGTCTTAGAAATGACGTCACTCGCGCGTGATTACAATAAACCTAAGCGTTTATTCTTAGTTGAGGTAAATAGGATGCACACTATACTAGACACATTCAAGTGAGAATAGTGCTTTGTTCTCAAGATTTTATTAATATACTAGCGGAGCGGATAGACGTTGTCCTGTTCACTGAATCAGTTGTCGCCAGCAGTATTTGAGCACCGACGTCTTAGGGACCTTCAAGAAGAGAGCCTATCCTTTCCTCACCACATTTGTGACTCCTCTGGTGTTGCTACTCACCACTAGGTGGCAAGCCTGCTCTTTTAAAAAAAAAAATCGCCTGAACTAACACTCCCTCTCTGTTCATGTATGGCATTCAAGGCATAGCGACTTAACAGACCTAAATTAGACGCATTGGCATTGAGTATGCTATCTTAACTGAGCGTCGTCCGTTTTTAATTACTGGATGAAGCCGCGACTAATAGACAAGCTCAGCGAAGGCGACTTCAAAGCTTCCTTTTTACTTTTTATAACTTACAATCGTCATCACTATACATTCCTTTGTATTGGATCAATTTATCTGTCTACTTAGACACACGAGAAAATACTTACGGCATACAGTTTTAACTGGTCTCTAGAAAATCCTACTTTAAAGTTATTCATACGTGCATTATCGTTCAATCTCATCCAATATCGGTTAAAACAGACCTAAAGCACTGAACTAAAGGTAACTGAGATCTCTAGCAAAAATGTTATATCATGCCGTCGCCACGCCCGCCCGCACTCACCTGTCCAGCAGGTCGGCCACTGGGTCCGCGTACTTCGCCAGCGACGCGGTGAACAGCACGCACTCGTAAAGCTCGCCGCAGCGCCGGAGGAACTCGTCGACGTGCGGCCGCTTGAGCACGTACACCTGGTGTACGGCCCCGTCTATCTCTACGGGCACCACGAAGTCCGCGTTGTTGATCGGCTGCCGGGCAGACGCGGGTAAATGTCAAACTGACGCGATTTATTGCAGTTTAGACAATGATAATAATGTACTTTATTGTACACCAAAAAAGAAAAAAAGTAGAAAAAGCTAATAAAATATCAAACATTGGTCATCAACAGGCTACACAGCAATTTCTTTCGGGCAACTTCAGAAATATACCAAAGGGAAATGTTAATGGGTAGACAATTATAAGACAAACATATCATACACAAAAATATAGCTTTATGTACATATATATCTATTAAATATCATCTTGTTAATCTAGTTAATATAAATACGAATTAACTTAATAATAAGTAATAAGTATTAACTTATATAAGGATTTGATCGCGTATTTAGTCTACTATTTAAATTCCCAACGTTTCGAACACTACAGAATTTATGGGCACAGAGCGAGTTTTTTTCCCCCCTAATTTCGTAGTAAACCCATGCTTATATCTTATCGTTTATATCTTAAGTTAGCGCAGTGTGCTTAAATTTAATGTTGTGAATTAATAAGGCCCCAAACTTACAGATGTCTCTCTATTTCATTGCGTAAAAAGTAAAGTAACAGCCTAAAGATGTCCCATTGTTGGGCAAACGCCTTCTCAATACAGAGGGTATTAGGGCATATAGTCTACGCGGCCCCACTGACTATTGGCGGACTTCACATACCTTCGAAATATTTTTTGTTATTATTTCGAAAACGCGACTTTCCTCACGATGTTTTCCTTCACCGCGGAGCATGTGATGAAGTCAGCACTTAAAATTAACAATTTCATTGGTGCCTGCACCGGGGATCGAACTAAGGTGCCTCGAGTATGTTGAATTCGAGAGCGGCCCTACCCACAGCGGAGAGCCCAAACCCGTGGGTTCTGGCTAGCCCACCGGTTCTGCGTCAGATGAAGCTTTAATAGTCTCGGGATTGGAAGCACAAACATCAGTTAACACAAGATTGAATTAAAGTCGAGCGCCCAGACAACTTACAATCGTAACATTATTGAAAGGAATCTGTATTCTTTAGTGACGGTTGTCAAAGCAAAGTAAGTAAAAGAAAGGATATAAAATTTTATAACAAACTGCACATTATTCCAACGGTTGCTGTCTCTCGTCATGTGAATGAATAGCAAAAAACTAAAGTATTTTTACTTCATAGGAGAAGGTTCTATAGAAAGTTCTGTCCATGTGAACTTTATATTTATCCCTATAGATGAGCTGCTGTAGCAACGTAGCGAGCGATCAATACGGCACCATGGTCAAAAGTAATGGGCAAACAAATTTCGTATTTAAATTTTACATTAGTTTCGCCCACATAAATGGGATTCCGAGGTTGCCGTATTGCTTTTCGAGGTTACGCGCGTGGAGTTTGATTTTTGATCGATATAACGTGTTTAGCTGGAAAACATTAGTTTACTTATGGCGAAATAGGCACATGTTTTTCCCCATAAGTAAACTAATATTCATCATCATCATATCAGCCGTAGGACGTCCACTGCTGAACATAGGCCTCCCCCATTGACTTCCACTTCGACCGGTTGTTAGCGGCCTGCATCCAACGCGTCCCTGCGATCTTAGCTAGGTCGTCCGTCCACCTTGTGGGAGGCCTTCCTACGCTGCGCTTGCCGTCACGTGGCCTCCACTCGAGAACCTTTTTGCCCCAACGGCCATCGGTTCTTCGAGCTATGTGCCCTGCCCACTGCCACTTCAGCCTGCTGACTCGCTTTGCTATTTCGGTAACTCTAGTTCTTCTACAGATCTCCTCATTTCTGATTCGATCTCGTAGAGAAACCCCGAGCATTACCCTTTCCATAGCGCCCTGTGCGACCGCGAGCTTCCTTATGAGGCCCATAGTGAGACCACGTCTCGGCACCGTAGGTCATCAACTAATATTAGACAAAATTAAATTTACCGTCGTCTATATCATTCATCTTCAAATAAGATAGACACAGCCAAAATGTAGTTTTAATTATTAAATTTCAAACTTCTACTAAATCTAAAGTAAACTGCTGTTATACTACGTTAATTCAACTAAAAAAAAGATTTATTTACCCCTAACATTACTTACTATGTTCCCAAATATTTACTTACAATAACACTCGAATATATGAATAGCCAGTGTATTAATTACTATAAATTACAGTCTACGTTCAACAATAAATACACTGATATAGGTAATAATTAAACATACCAGTCATACCGCAAAGTTAATATTGTGGCTTGGGGTAAAACCTTACTGGGAAGGGGATTTGGTTGAATTGGTCGCATAGTTCAATTTCTTGTTGTGTGTCACAACAAAATTGCGACTGCAACTGTTCATAATTTCCGCCATCTATATCAATGCACTATTATTTCATATTGTTTAAATTTAATAAATGATTATTCGACGAGAGTAACTAACTTTTTTAAACACTTCTTTCAATGATAGAGCGCCACAGCAGCTTTTGCTGTTGCAAGAACGGGCAGGATCATCCGGGAAAGTACCACGGACCATGAGCGTATACTCCATACAAATATGTCCTATAGTAATCCTTTTTTTTAGAGTTAAAGACAACAAACTTCACATGAGAACATTTTCAAAGGCCATTTTGCATATCATTTAAGGGATCCGTTATCTTATCATCGATCACTTAGAGAAGCTGGTATATTTTTAATGCAAGCCCTGTTTGAAATATCTGTTGCCACTGGCGACGGGAGACCAATGTGAAGGGAAAGTAGTGTTTGTACCTCTGCAATTCAGTGGGCACGAAAAACATTACTCCACTGTTTTAAAAGTTGCGGAGGTCAATAGGCTGCTGCAATCACTTAACATCAGGGAAACCGCCTACACACTTATCACCAACCTAATCCATCACTAACGAGACTATGTTAACATATCAAAATAATTAACCGTTAAGTCGGAAGTCATCCGTATGTCTTTCTACTTGAAAATTTAATCCTAATAAAGCAATATTTAAAAATTAAAAGCTATAGTGATCATCCTAATCCTAAAACGGGAAACTGATGGACGCACACCTTTAACCGTAAATTCAAACTCACGACTTAATATCTATTATCGACGTCTCAATCGATACGACACCAAGTTTGAGGGAAAGTTTTATTTTGGCAATAGCGCGGCCGTTCGCAGTTCATTGTGCAAGTGCCCACAATTATTACTTGGATTGACAAACGGCTCTGCCGAAATCAGATTTAATTAACAAGTAACAAATGTCCAATATACGAATATTGCAATTGTGAAATTCTTGAGAGAATTTATGTATAATGTGCTATTTAACTTTCGAGGCTTTGGCGGATTTCTCCCCGTATTCGGTAGAATACGGTAATGCCATTTAAAGCTCAAAACTGATGCCTTTCAAAGCAACCTCGAGTAAGGAATAACTTTTAACATTTCACAATTATAACCTCCGAGCTCGACTTTTCCAGCGGCGATACGTAAGCAGAAAAAAAACTGCAACTAATTAACAAAACGCAATCTTATTTTCGCAGTTTCAGAGTTTATTTTTAAAATTTATCACAGAAACAAGCATATTACCAGTATATATTAATATGTAGCATATTTTATATATATCATACAATCTTACGACGATTGTATCCAAAGAATGGGACCCAAAAGATTTTTGTTGAAATCTGGTGTTATGGATGTATGTTTAAATAGATGAAAACTAATATTTCATTTAGCTATTTCATATTCGGACTGTACTGTCAAGTAAGAATTAGTTAACAGCAACATAATAATTGCAGTTACATTATTCTCGTGGAAAATCTTTGAAACATTATTAGAAAAGCTTTAGCGTTATGTAAACCTAGAATCTCTGAATAATTGAAACCGAAGCCCGACTGTGTTTCTTAATTACTTTAGCTATTAAGTGTAACGAGTATAAAACACGGGGCTGTCGAGTAATTGTACACGCCATTAAGAGCGCGTTACGATAAAAATACCTAAACAAATTATGTTCCAAGTCAACATGTTAAAACCACATCCAACTGCGCGTAACGAAGCGGACCAAAAATGAAACAATTTGATCACACTGAGATCATGTTCTTTACAACTAAGACACATAATATAAATTCATTTTAGCGGTAAATTCGCTCATTTGCGAATTTCAGTCTTAAACACTTGTCATTAAGGCTGAACTTGAAATACGAATGTAATACTCCGAGCTTTAATTAGTGGCGAAGGTGGCAGGTGGTGGTATCATCACACCCAGGGTCATAAATCTGAGACAGTAATTTTTGCTTGTAACAAATCCGAAGTACCTCGCGACTCACACATTACTAAAAATTCATAAAAAACAAACGTTACTAAAAATTCAAAAGAAAAGTATCGAAAGCCTAACAATCAGAAGGCAATCAAGTATAGGTGATTTGACAGATGGAATCGATCCGAACACGTCACGTCACTTACACGGCGGGGTCGGGCACCAATACTTCATCCATACGATATCAAGGCTGAGACCTTGACACGCGAGGAACCGGCCAAAAGAGCGCGCACAATGAAGGAGCACATATGGCGATGTGTTATAGAGGTACGCGGTACCATCACAACAATAACCAGCGACTGCCGTTTTAGGCGATCGATTGATTAACGCACTTAATATTCCCAATCGATATCCCGCCACGTCGGGGGGGAATCCGAACACACAACTAACGCCCGGTTTCTTAAACACTGATCATCGTAGAAATTAACGAATCGGCTGTCAAATGGCTTTTCAAATTTCATTGGAGTTGCCAAAAGTATGGTTAAACTCTTAATTGATCAGAATGATCTTATGATCAGAATCAGGGCGTAAAACTATGATGGGTGATAATTAACAATCGACATTTAATTTAACAAACTTTGATTTGTTAAAAAATCACACAAGACAAACATGACGGCATGAAAACACAATTGGTTTTATTGTTTGCTAAATTTTAAGGACGTTTGAGTATTTCTCACGTTGGGTTAGCCAGTAGGTAGTTAATCGATATACACAGGTACGGATTGACAAAGGTATTTTAGATTA